AGACAGCGGCCTGTCTTCTGTGAGCACCGCTGCGCACATGTTTCCCAGTGGCAGCGGCGGCGCTGCGGTGACAACTGCAGAAGAAAGAGCAGCCAACGAGCGGCAGCCTTTTAAATCGGGCCGTTGCAGTTTGCGTCACNAGAAGAAAGAGCAGCCAACGAGCGGCAGCCTTTTAAATCGGGCCGTTGCAGTTTGCGTCACTCTTCTCGCGCTCTCCCTGCCAAACGGTCGGCTGAAGAAGAAGAAGAAGAAGCAAAGTCGTCGACTCCTCGGATCGCCGCCATCGCTACCACCACCACCACTACCATCACCTCATCATCCTCCTCCTCATCATCATCACCACCACCACCACCACTACCACCACCGATCATGTCCTCAGCCACCGACGAGGAGAGCCTCATCGACAGCGCCGCTGAAATCACCCTAGCGAGCGACGCCGATCGCACGCAGGACATGAGCTTTGCCGGCGACGACGACGATGACGACGACGACCAGAACAAAGAGAGCGACTCCAGCGGCATTGGCAGCTCAATCGCGAAGCTCAACAAGTCTATTCACGAGATGTCCATCCGGGTGGACCCGGGCTCAGGCAGCGGCTCCGAGGCTGATGACGAGGAGGACGAAGAGGAGGAGAAGGAAGATCAGCCCGAGCCAAAGGCGGTGGTGCCCTTCATTGCCACTCGCAACAGCAATACCGCGCTCATCTCGCAGCCAGTCGAGCTGGAGCTCTTTGACGAGGACGAGCGAGAGCTGCTCGGCGACGACTTCGTCAACACCAGCCGACAACTGACAGTGGCCACTACGTCTCGCAAGTCGGCCCGAAAGAGCATCGTCATTCTCTCCTCGGGCAATGAAAGTGACGAGGGGGAAGAGGAGGTGGTGGTGGTGAAGAAGTCCAAGAAGAAAGCGCTCAACCTCAGCAGTAGTAGCAGCAGCAGTGAATCACCCGAAATCATCACTGCCCCAAAGGAGGCGAAGAAGGAAAAGTCATCGCCCTCTCCCGTTCTTCTTCTTCCTCCTCCACAACAGGACAGCGACGGCGATGATGACCTGATGATCATTTCGCCAGCCAAGCCGCCGGTTCAGCCAAAGTCGATCATTCAGCCAAAGATGCCGACCAAAGCTCGGCTCAACATCGCCAAACTGGTAAGCTAACTGACTGACTGTGTGCACACCTACCTTCTTGACATCTCTTTGCTTACCCCTTTTCTCTCCCCACCTTTGTCCCTCAGGCTGGCCCCTCTGAGGAGGAGAAGAAGAAGCAGAAGAAGCCACTGCCGATCATGAACTGGAACCGCCTGGAGAAGACCACTCGCCTCGCTGACCGGGCGGAGAAGGAGCGCGTCAAGCGGCTGGCGGCGAAGGAGAAGGCTTTCGAGCGGGCCTTTGACGCCGCCGACCCCGCCACTGCGCTCATCCTCGACTTTGACGTGGCGACGAGCCGGCCGCTGGTGCGCATCAATAAGTCGCTGGGGAAGCAGCTGAAGCCGCACCAGGTGGAGGGCGTCAAGTTCATGTACCAGACGGTGATCGAGTCGGTGGAGCGCCTCCAGGAGGATGAGGAGAATGAAGAGGAGCTCGGCGGCAGCGGCTGCATCCTCGCCCACTCGATGGGTCTCGGCAAGACGCTCCAGGTGGTCACCTTCCTCCACACCGTGCTCACCTGCCGGCACACGGCGGAGGCCATCCAGCGCGTCCTCATCGTCGTCCCCTTCAATGTGATCGAGAACTGGGCGCAGGAGTTCGACAAGTGGGTGGAGCGGTGCCGCCTCGACTGGGACATCACCATCTACGAGATGCGCCTGGAGAAGACGACGAAGAAGCGGGTCGACCTGCTGCGCACCTGGTACAAGAGGGGCGGCGTGCTGCTCATCACCAACGCCCTCTTTGCGCGCATCGTCTCCTCGCTGGAGGAGATGGCGGACCGCGCCTCGGCGCGCGCCTTTCGCACCTACCTCCTCTCGCCCGGGCCCGACCTGCTGGTGATCGACGAGGGCCACCTGCTGAAGAACGAGGACAGCCAGCTGAATCGGGCGCTGACGCTGGTGGAGACGCGTCGGCGGGTGATCCTCACGGGGACGCCGCTGCAGAACAACCTCGCCGAGTACTTCACCATGGTGGACTACGTGAAGCCGCGGCGGCTGGGCACCCGCCAGGAGTTCAAGAACCGCTTCCAGGCGCCCATCGAGGCCGGCCAGAACAAGGACTCGGCGCCCTTTGAGGTGGTGCACATGAAGAAGCGCATCCACGTGCTGCACCAGCTGCTGACCAGTGTCATCCACCGCTGCGACTACCGCATCCTCGTGCCCTACCTCCCGCCCAAGGCGGAGCACGTGCTGGCGGTGGCGCTGACCGAAAAGCAGAAGGAAATGTACCGCCACTACCTCAACTTCTACGCGGACAAGAGCGCTCGGAAGAGCCTCTTTCGCGATAAGAACCTCCTCGCTCACATCTGGACTCACCCCATCCTCATCCACGACTACCGGGTGCAGTCGAAGGGCAAGGAGACCTTCGTCAATGAGATCGGCGACTGGTACCTGCGCTACCTCAGCCCCGAGGAGGACGCCACCCGGCTGGAGCTGAGCAGCAAGCTGACGCTGGTCTTTGCCCTGCTGGAGGCCTGCGAGAAGAAGGAGGAGAAGGTGGTCATCTTCAGCCAGAGCCTCCTTGTGCTCGACCTCATTGAGCGGCTGCTGCGCGTGAAGAGCCAGGAGGCGGCGGCGAAGGGGGAGAAGGGCTCGTTCGGGCGCTGGCGCAAGGACGTCGACTACTTTCGCATTGATGGCGGCGTGGACGTCGACGAGCGCAGCGAGGTCATTGAGCGCTTCAACGACGCCGAGGAGCGGCGCGCCCGGCTGATGTTGGTCTCCACACGAGCGGGCGGCATCGGCATCAACCTGGTGGGCGCCAATCGGGCGGTGATCTTCGACGCCAGCTTCAACCCCGCCAACGACCTGCAGGCGATCTTCCGCATCTACCGCCTGGGGCAGACGAAGCCCGTCTTCGTGTACCGCATGGTCGCCTACGGGACGATGGAGGAGAAGATCTACCGGAAGCAGATCGTCAAGCAGTCGCTCAGCCGGCGGGTGATCGACGAGCAGCAGGTGGTGCGCCACTACGCCAAGGTCGAGGTGGAGGAGCTGTACAAGCTGGACGACGACTACAGCGCCCACGCCGACGCCGTCCTCCCCATCACCGCCACCGACGACCTCCTCAACGACCTCATCTACGAGCACAAGGGCCTGGTGCTGGCGGTGCACGAGCACGACTCGCTGCTCGAGGCCAGTCCGGACGAGGAGCTGACGGAGGAGGAGCGCCGCGCCGCCTGGGAAGAGTTTGAGAAGGCGAAGAAGGAGGTCGTGGTGGGCGGCGCCAAGGGTGGCAAGAAGGCTGGTACTGCTGCTGGTGGCAAGAATGGATCGGCTGCTGCTGTTGCTCACGAGGAGGAAGAGGACGATGACTTTGCGGAGGAAGAGATGGTCGAAGAAGTTGATATGGTCAGCGAGGAGGATGATGATGACGACGAGGAGGAGGAAGAGGCGATGAAGGCCATTCAGGGCTCCAGCGGGCGCCCTGCTCACTCGGCCGAGCTCATCGCCATCGACTGAGTTTGCTTTGATTTAATTCTCTGTGTTTTCCGCAGCTAATTTTAATTTTAATCCTAATTTTACCTATCATTTCCAGCTGCTATCATTCTGTTACACTCACTTACTCATTAACTCACTCACTAATTATGATAAAAACGTGATCTCTACCATCGGTTATAATCATCATCATCATCTTCTCAACTCTGTGACAGATGTCAATTGATGCGGAGGGACAGTAGAGTTGTAGTGCATATGTTGTAACACAGATTATACCGCTCGGTAATCAGATTCATTAGAATGGTGATAAGTAGGATGAGCACAAGGGTGGAATCACAGAGAAATCACTGTGAGAACGAGAAGAGGCACTTCATGAGAAGAAGAAAAAGACAAAGTAGTCCATCACTTGTACAAAGCAAAAAACTTGCAGTGTGCAATCACACATTTATTCTCATCAAGTTAAACATTATCGAGTTTGCATTACACACATGGTTGTTCCTTAAAAAAGAGTAAAAAAGTAGTTGATGATTAAAAAGACGTGAAAAAGGGGGATGGAGTGGGGACTACAAATGGGCCGTCTTCACTTGAGGCCCTTCAGCACCTCCTTCAGCTGACTGGGGCTGACGGCGCAGCGGCCCAGGACATCACCACCACCACCA